ATGCAAACTGTACCCAGAAAGGTCCCCGGACCGGGATTTGAACCGGTGACCTTCTTGCTGAGAGGCATCAGCTCTACCAASTGAGCATGAATATCCAATGTATATATAAATTACTTTTACAAATAAAATCTTTTTTTTTGTTCAGAAGTTTTTCTGATCTTGACTCATTGCTGACCTGCAGGAACCACAATGAGAAAAACGTTTTAAAAATGCACATTTATGTATGAATTAACACATTGTCAGAAGAAAACAAAAGTTTCCTCTCATTTATTGGAAACATAATCAAATATTACAAGTAAAAAACAGTTTTATGCAACATTTAAACAAACATTGCCTTTCAATTTTAAAGTATTAAAAATCATTTAAGTTACAATGACAGAATATAAAAAAAGACTCCATAGTTATCAGCGTATTGTGTGTACTGCTATTACAGTTGAGTTTAACATATTTAAAGCTTAAATTAACACCAGGCTCAGATTTTAGATTCTCATTCTGCTCATTTATGATTCAAATGTCTCTTAAATAAAAAGGTGAAATATGTCACAAAGGTTTGTTTTCAGTCTTCGTACTTGTGCCACAGGGCGGAAGAATCCCTTTCTTGATCCGTGGGTATAAAAATCGGTTCTGGGCTCCTCGATGTCCGAGCTGCTCGCCTGTCTGACTGACACCAGGAACAAATCTCTAAATCAGTCAGGACGCTGCAGACTCTCTGCGGGCTCTCCTCTGGTCCAAACACTGCAGAACCCTAAAACAAAAACAACAAATAAACATGGCTGATTTTATTTCACAGTGATGTTTTTTCTCCCCTCCGACTGTTAAAAGTCAACAAAAAAAAAAAAGAGTCACCCAATGATTCCAGCAGGGATGAAGAGGACGATGGCAGCAAACAGGAAAGTGAAGCCCTTCATGAAGTGCCTAGTTGCTGGGTAGAGTGAGTTGAAGAGGCTGCTGCCCACAAGGTAACACGAGCTCTCCACGCAGGCCACAGAAGCAAACAGGGCGCCTAACGGGCCGAAAACACACAAATAATAAAACTCATAAAGTACAGAAATAGGCAGCTATGGTGTATTGGTTAAAACGTTTGCAACAATTACATTTTGTCAAAATAAATACCTCACCTATAGGCAGTGGCGGCTGGTGGATTTTTTTCCAGGTGGGGCTACAACTTCAAAATAGACGTGTCCCAAAAAGCAATCAAACATGTACTAAGTTGTATCACGCCAGTGTATTTATTAAACAAATGACAATAATAAAACAGCATTACAATGTCATGTAGTGTTTTATTTTTAGTACATAAATTTTGCTCTTCTGTTACTGAGAAGCAAATTTCTTCATGACTCTGGTTAAATTCAGGGATGTTTTAACCAGATTCTTATAGAGCATGGTCATTGCAGTGCGGTGTGATGTGTACTAGTGCTGTACCAAACGATTATTTTCTAATCGATTAATCTAACGATTATTTTTTCGATTAATCGATTATTCTAACAACAAATCTATAAGTTATTCTGATGTGAGTGCACTGGATACTGTATTTAAAACGTTTTCATCAAATTAACAAGAACAGTTC